GTTAGCCAGGATGGTCTCGATCTCCTGACCTCGTGATCCGCCCGTCTCGGCCTCCCAAAGTGCTAGGATTACAGGCTTGAGCCACCACGCCCGGCCAACTTTTTTTTTAAGGTCTCACTATGTTGACCAGGCTGGCCTACAACTCCTAGACTCAAGCAGTCCTCTTGCCTTGGCCTCCCAAAGTGCTGGGAGTACAGGTATGGACCACCATGCCTGGCCTAAATTCCAGTTTTGAAGTGTTACTGGATTAAACAGGATTCTTTAGAGTATTTGAAGAGTTTTAATCACTTGTGATGTCCGTCTTATTTCAGGCTTTCGGAGCCACCACATAGAGAAAACCTCACTTTCTCACATTTTTATCACCAATACTTAGAGCCGTGAGAATGTTTCTGTGGAAAGGGGGGTGGTAGCTGATACCTGATCTCCTCTTGGAAATCAGACTCTGGATTCGTCCTCACTGCTGCCTGTCAGGGAGCCTGGTGGGAAATCTTCTGTCTGGAAACGATGCCCATTCCTGTTCAAATGTGTTATCATGTTGGTGGGAGAAAGCCAGGGCCATGGAGGACTCTTGTTTATGCCAAGTGGATTCAAACAAATGGGGAAGAGCTAGGCACAGTGGCACATGCACCTGTAGTCCCAACTACCCATGAGGCTGAGGAAGGATTGCTTGAGGCCAGGAGTTTGAGGCTGTAGTGTGCTGTGATTGTGCCCGTGGACAGCCACTGCACTCCAGCCCAGACAACACAGTGAGATCCCATCTCTAGTAAATATAATAAATAAGAACAGGGAAGAAAATTTGTGTCTCCAGAGGTTACAATGACCAGCGTTTCCTCCCTCCTCACAGAGATATTCCTTTTGAATTGGAACACTGATTGTTTCTAGTTGCTTTGTATTCAGCTCAGAGCTCAATTTACAGTACATATGTGTCTACCCCCCCATCACGGAGTGACAGTTATGTTGCTTTATTTATTTATTTATTTTGTGACAGAGTCTCACTCTGTTACCCAGGCTGGAGTGCAATGGCGTGATCTCGGCTCACTCCAACCTCTGTCTCCAGGGTTCAAACAATTCTTATGCCTCAGCCTCCCAAGCAGCTGAGACTACAGGCGCGTACCACCAAGCCCAGCTAATTTTTGTAGTTTTATTAAAGACGGGGTTTCACCACGTTGGCCAGGCTGATCTTGAACTCCTGACCTCAAGTGATCCGCCTGCCTCAGCCTCCCAAAATGCCGGGATTACAGGTGTGAGCCACCGCCCCCGGCCGACAGTTATGTTGCTTTAAAGCCAATCTCCTTCCAAGATCTTTGATCTAAAACTGTCTCATGTAACTAACTTCCCTCTCCTTATACCTCCTCCTCTTGCAATGTGTCTCCAATTGGCACTGCCTAATTTGACCCAGTTCCTCTAAGGAGATACTAAGATCTGCCTGGCTGGTTAGGCAGGGGAGGAGGTGCTTTGAGGGGTAGAGAGTAGGAAGGCTGGGCGGGATGTGCTGCAGGGAGACTTGAGCAAAGAGTAAAGTACATCTACTGATTTGCTCCTGGTTTGCACAGAAAACCAGGACTGAGAACAGCAGAGTTTCAATCCAATACCCTCTCACTTCCAGGGTTACCAACTTGGTACAACTTGGTATTAAAACCAGCGCGGTGGCTCACGCCTGTAATCCCAACGCTTTGGGAGGCTGAGGAGGGCAGATCACCTGAGGTCAGGGGTTCGAGACCAGCCTGGTCAACCTGGCAAAACCCCATCTCTACTAAAAATACAAAAATTAGCTGGGCGTGTTGGTGCACACCTGTAATCCCAGCTACTCAGGAGGCTGAGGCAGGAGAATCACTTGAACCCGGGATGCAGAGGTTGCAGTGAGCCGAGATCATGCCACTGCACTCCAGCCTGAGTGACAGATCGAGACTCCGTCTCAAAAAGAAAAAGAAAAAAAGAAACAAAAACCCAGCTGGAGGCAGCTAAGTACTGATTTTGCCCAAGATGTGTCACAGAGCACATGTTAAGAGCAATTAAGCAGGAAAACTCAGCTTGCTGTTAGAAAGAAAGTCCAACTCAGAAAACAACTCCTTCAGACCCTTCTGGAAATTGTTTTGGGGCCATTTGGGCAGAAGTCCAAGAATGAGATACACTTCCTGAGCCAGTGCTAGCTGAATGCTATGCTTCACCTGTTCTGCCCACCTAGTGCTTGTCTAGCCCTTCATTCGTGGAGGCATTAGGCATACTGCATGCACACACATACACACACACAAAAAAAAATACGAGCATATTTCTTCCTGTAGAGCCAGCTCGACTTGTTCTTCCTTTTAAAGTAACAGACCCCACTCCCACAGGGATCACACCAAAGGAAAAGATGCCTTACCTGATGTTAGAACCAGGGAAAAGAATTAGCCAAGTGTGGTTGTCCATGCCAGTAGTCCCAACTACTCAGAAGGCTGAGGCAGGAGAATTGCTTGAACCTGAGAGCCAAACTCATGCCACTGCACTCCAGCCTGGGCAACACAGTGAGACTCCATCTCAAAAACAAAACAAAAACAGGGAAAAGCAAGAAAACCCATGAAAGCCTTGAGTAGCCTGGCTTTTGAAAGATTTAATAGAAGGAGGACACCTCAGAGAGGCAGGCAACTTGTGTTCTTGTTCTATTCTCACCATGAACCCTGGGACAAGTAACTTCACTGCTCTCAGCCTCAGTTTCTCTCAGTTTCTCTAAGCAGAAAACAGGAAAATCCTGCTCACTCTTGCCTCTCCTGCATGGGGAGGTGTGTGAGGGAAGTTTCAAGTGGCACTTTGGGTTTTTTTTTGTTTTGTTTTGTTTTCTTTCGTTTTGTTTTGTTTGAGACAATGTCTTGCTCTTGTCGCCCAGGCTGGAGTGCAATGGCACAATCTCAGCTCACTGCAACCCCCGTCTCCTGGGTTCAAGCAATTCTCCTGCCTCAGCCTCCCGAGTAGCTGGGATTACAGGTGCACCCCACCACGCCCGGCTAATTTTTGTATTTTAGTCGAGATGGGGTTTTGCCATGTTGGCCAGGCTGGTCTCGAACTCCTGACCTCATGATCCGCCCACCTCAGCCTCCCAAAGTGTTGGAATTACAGGTGTGAGCCACCACGCCCAGCTTCAAGTGGCACTTTGAACTTTGCATTCTTTTTTTTTTTTTGAGATGGAGTCTCCCTTTGTTGCCCAGGCTGGAGTGCAGTGGCGTGATCTCTGCTCACTGCAACCTACACCTCCCCAGTTGAAGCAATTCTGCCTCAGCCTCCCAAGTAGCTGGGATTATAGGGGTGCACCAACACGCCCAGCTAATTTTTTTGTATTTTTAGTAGAGATGGGGTTTCACCATGATGGCCAGGCTGGTCTCGAACTCCTGACCTGAGGTGATCCACCCACCTCGCCCTCTCAAAGAGCTGGGATTACAGGCGTGGGCCGCCACGCCCAGCTCAAGCTTTCCATTCATTTTGAAAAGCCCCAAAGGGCAATTATGAATCTAACGATTTGGAAACGAAAGGGGCCCTTAATACCAGACTGCCCTCCTTTATCTTTTGATCTCTATCTCAGGTTGCATGGCTAGTTCCAGAGAGTATGAGTTCTCTAACAACTGTGGACTTGGGCTCTTCTAATCATTGTTCCTAAGGGACCCTTCAAGGAACCACTTATTATTGTGGCTTGTTCTAGTGGTCTGGTCCCAAAGTTCAGTCCATCCCAGGAAGGATGTCAAGAAAAGAGGGTTAATAAACTTAGAGAATTTTTTTCTCTATGCCCTGGCTTCCTAGGGAAATAGGGTTGATACTAGGAATCTCTCTGACAAAATTTAAGAGAGAATTGCTTTGTGAAGTGAAGGTAAGCCCATGTTTCAGGTTTTCTCATGAGCCTTTAAAAGGAGTCTCTCAACTCCAGACAAGAACTGGGTGGGGGGCAGGAAAACAGACACTTTCCTCTGTGTGGCTTCCTGCACCCCCTCACCCCCACCCTCACCTCTCTCAATATACCATTACAAGCAAACCAAATTTTTATCCGTCTGCCTCAGTGAGATCCTTCAAAAAGACCAAGAATCCCCACAGCAACTCAGACTGTTCCCTTGCCCCATTCTTGCTTCTGCCTCTGCCTCAGGGTGTTTAGTTTTCATCAGATGAGTGGGGGATGAAATTTTTATTTATTTATTTATTTATTTATTTTATTTTATTTTGTTTTATTTTATTTTATTTTTTGTGACCGGGTCTCACTCTGTCGCCCAGACTGGAGTACAGTGGCAGGATCTCGGTACACCACAACCTCCACCTCCTAGGCTCAAGTGATTCTCCTGCCTCAGCCTCCCAAGTACCTGGAATTACAGACTCACACCATCGCCCAGCTAATTTTGTTTTGATTTGTTTTTTTAAGAGACGGAGTTTTGCTCTTGTTGCCCAGGCTGGAGTGCAATGGTGTGATCTCGGGTCACTGCAACCTCCGCCTCCCGGGTTCAAGTGATTCTCCTGCCTCAGCCTCCCGAGTAGCTGGGATTACATGCATGCACCACCACGCCTGGCTAATTTTTTTTGTATTTTTAGTAGAGATGGGATTTCTCCATGTTGGTCAGGCTGGTCTCAAACTCCTGACCTGAGGTGATCTGCCCGCCTGAGCCTCCCAAAGTGCTGGATTACAGGTGTGAGCCACCAGGCTGGCCGCAATTTTGGATGTATGTAAATTTCCACCAGATAGATTTTTTTTTCTCTCCTCCCACAGGCTCCTAAAGAGATAATTCATTGCAACAAATTATCACTTTTAAGTGCTCTCAGTTACTGATTGTTTAATACTCTACTGCCAATTACTGCTTGCCTTCCCTCAAATAGACTTTAACCTTCATTTTAAATTCAGACTCCCCCCCCCTCCTTTTTAAAAATAAGCATAGCAGAGTAATTGATGAGAGGGTGGGGATAACCATTTACAGGTTTAATTTGTTTATCACACCTTCAGTAGAGGACTTATCACTGAACCCTGAGTGGGCTGCTCTTCTCCATCTTCTACTTTTCCTGTCACCATCCCTCACACAACATACTCCCAGACAGAATCCTTTGAATGACTGAACCCAGCTTCTTATTACTACCCCATCTTTAACTGAGGTATAGAGCCTCTGAGGGGCTGTTTCTTTGCCTCCTCAGGGCTGAGGTGTAACCTCCACCTACATACATGGTCTAATCTCAGAATCAAGGACCACTCTGGATTAAGATAGTGTCTCCACCTCAGAGGCTGGGGAGGCCTGCAGAAGTTGTAAATTGGAGGAAATAGTGGGGTTTGTAAATCAGGGTACATTGTCTTTCATCAGGACAAAGTGTAAGGTTTTTCTTGGAAACAGGGTCTCACTTGGTTACCCAGGCTGGAGTGTAGTGGTAAGATCACAGCTCACTGCAGCCTCGACCTCCAGGCTCAAGTGATCCTCTCACCTCAACCTCCTGAATATCTGGGACTACAGGCACATGCCACGATGCATAATTTATTTTTATATTTTGTAGAGATGGGATCTCCCTATATTGCCCAGGCTGGTCTCAAACCCCTGGGCTCAAGCGATCCTCCCACCTTCTTCCCAAAGCACTACGATTACAGGCATTGAGCCACAGTGCCTGGCTAAGGTTTTTCTTCTTTAGGATAGTATCAGACCATGCTTAAGTGCTCCTTTAGGTATCTTGCTAACTCAAGAATGTTAAAGAGAAGCCTCCTCCCTTCCCAGAGCTATCTTCTAATAGCAGCTATTTTCTCTTTCAACAGAATCTCTTTAAAATGGACATAGAAGACTGCAATGGCCGCTCCTATATGTCTGGTATGCCTTCTGTGTGTTCTGTTTGTTAGGGGCTGGAAGCAGACGCTCTCCTGTAAAGCAGAGCAGAGAGCCTTCAGCCTAGGCACATAGCCTCTAAATGTCCTAGTCACACAGCTAACTCTCATGCTTGGTGGCCGTTGGTAGTGTGCAATTATTTTGGTGATCTTACATTCCCTAAATAGTAATTCTCTTTTCCAGACTTCTTGGGGGATGGAGGAAGGGAATAGGAGGGGAATATGAGCGGACATCATTAGAAGAATAATTTGAAGCAAATAGATGGAAAGAAGACGTGGTTCCTTCTCCTTTGCTCTGAAGTCACCAGCCAAATATGAAATCCTGTTCTATCCAGATAGAGTGGCACAAGGTTTCAAACCTCAAAGGCCTGCGAGGGCCAGGTGGTTGTGTGAATGAGTGAAGTAAAGTTAGGATAATAAGCAGAAAAGAATGGTGGGGGCCGTCATGAAGTAGAGAACATATGTCCCACTTAAAAGGACAGCAGCTTTCAGTGTCCACTAGAACTTATCATGCAGGAATGTGTATCTAGTGTGGCCAAAACTTCTAAATGTTTAGGAGAAATCAGAAATCCAAATTTTTATATGAAATGTCTCCATTTTAAAATAATGACTCAAGGCTGGGCACGGTGGCTCATGCCTGTAATCCCAGCACTTTGGGAGACAGGCAGATCACCTGAGGTCAGGAGTTCAAGACCAGCCTGGGCAACATGGTGAAACCCCGTCTCTACTAAAAATACAAAAATTAGGCCAGGCACAGTGGCTCACACCTATAATCCCAGCACTTTGGGAAGCCAAGGTGGGCAGATCACGAGGTCAAGAGATCGGGACCATCCTGGCCAACATGGTGAAACCCTCTCTCTACTAAAAATACAAAAATTAGCTGGGCATGGTGGTGCATGCCTGTAGTCCCAGCTACTCAGAAGGCTGAGGCAGGAGAACCCGGGAGACGGAGGTTGCAGTGAGCCAAGATCATGCCACTGCACTTCAGCCTGGCGACAGAGTGAGACTCCATCTCAAAAAAAAAAAAAAGAGAAATAATATAAACCAAAACTCGGTTTTGATGTGATGAGTATCCCTATCAGAAACCCAAGCATCATTGTGGAAATGACCTATAGCTTATTTTTTACTCTAAAGTAGGACCAATGAAGGAATTATTGGCATGCACTAAAGGAGATAGCAAGATGGGTCAGACACACATATGAGAGTCATTGGCAACACCCGGGTAATGTAAGGTAAGATGTTGACTCTGGCCCCTTTCTTGTTTAAGGAGGGAAGGAGTTGGAATGGGTAAAGGCATTCAATACCTGCCACATGCTTGACAGAATGACAGGGATCAGGCAGACTCGTTTAATTGGAACACACTTTATTAGAACAAAAGTCATGGCGCTTGTGAGGAGCGAGCCAGTCCTCCTACCTCCTGCTCAGTTAAGCCTATTCAGAAAACCACTACTGAGCAACAAGTACACTTGGGACCCTGCTTTAGTGCTGGGGAACACTCAGATGGATAAAATCCAGTCCCTGCCATAAAGCAGGCAAATGAGAAACTACAAATCCCGTGGAGCTCTTTTCAAACCTGTTTATGGAGAATACTGGATACTCGTGGAAAACTGAGGTGATTTGCTTCACCATGCTATGAAACCAAGTTTTCCCTGCTTTCAGCAGATTGGCATTTCCTAGATAAGAAGTGGCCTTTGCACAGGATGGTTTCTGAATGGAAGTGGAGGCCAGGAACTCCTCCTCTGTACTTTGAGAATTCTAGATGTCAGCAGCTACCTTAGAAAGGGAAAGGGGAAAGTCAAAGTAGGGCTACCATTAGCTCTGAAAAGTACCCCTCTTAGGACTGGGCAAAGCTGTGCTCATCACTGACCCATCTCTCCTGGAAGAGTCATATGGAAGCAGAAGGAAAGGCTGCAGCACGCAGCCCTCCTGAAGCACACTGCGAACCTCCACAGGCCCCCACAGTTCTTCTGTTCCACACCAGGTGACCTTCCCTCATCAGGCCACTTGATGAAAAGGGTATCTCTCCTGTTCTTCCAAGAGATTTGAATTCCTCACAGAACGTGATTTAGAAAATCCTTTTCTCCCCTTTTCTCTTTTTAAAGCTGCAGATCATTCCCTTCTGGGGCAGGGAAAAGGGGGAGATAAGCAGGCATCTATTAATTTACGACACAGATAACCACCCCCTCCATTTTCCTATCTTTCAAGGGAAACAGAGTTGCTCAAACCCAGCTCATGCCATTAATTGACTAAGCAGTGCTTGCCCCGTTTCCTGAGACTGTTAAATGTTTAAGAGAACTTTGGTAGAAAGGGATTCAGGGGTAGGCAACCCAAAGTTTCACAGCCCCTCCCACCCCCAAATTCTTGGAATCAGAAAATGTAGTCTTCCAAAGTAGGTCAGTTTGTCAGTGAGCAGCTCCTCTGAAAGGGAAGGGAGCAGAGGCCTTGTCCTGATAGAGGGCGGATTCATCCAGGGCTTTCGGCTGCTGGGGCCCCAGGGGCACAGGAGGGAGGGGAAGTGGGGAGACCATACCAGCCTTTTTGCCTGGGATCTGAAAGGTCTCAGGGCCACGGAGCAACACTAGCCTGACACCAGACTGCTGGGCCCTCTGGCCGCTGGAAAGGAGGAGGCTGTCAGTCCCCAGATCTAGAGAGCAACCTTCCTCCTGGAGGAGGAGGGAAAGAGTTTGGTGGGGGAGGGGCTTTCTGCCGATCTGAGAGCCTTGAAGCTGTCCGTGTCCTGGGCCCCATGACCTCTGGGGCCTTGGCTTCCCCAGCTGGCAGAGGATTGGGCCTTCCCTGGGGCCCCCCCTTTCTCCCTCCCACCCGCAGGCCCATCCATCTCTCTCTCTCTCTCTCTCTCTCTCTCTCTCTCGCTCTCTCGCTCTCTCGCACACACTCTTGCCTCTCTCAGGCATTTGTTGTGCAGTTCCTCTTTGTCTGCTGGGCACGAGGGGCAACGGCATCTGCCTTTCCCTCCCTGTGCACACACCCACCACCCACCCCCTGCACTGTCTTGGAAAAGGGATGCTGTAGCCTAGCATCTCCCCCACCATATACACATATACATTCTCTCCAGCCCCCTCCCCAAGCACATCCAAGCCTGCTCTCCCCTCTCCCTCTCTCCCTCTCTCTCCCTCTCTCTCTCTGTCTCTCTCACACACACACACACACACACTCAACACACATACACCCTGGGCTGAGCTGCTCTTGCTGGCTACAGCCGTGGGCCTCTGCTCACCGTGCCGCTGCTGCTGCCTGCGAAATGACGGCGGTTCCCCTAACTTCCAGGAATCCACGCTTCCTGGAAGGTGAGTGGCTGGGCTCACCCCTGCCTGCCACTGAGACGCAGACATGCATACACCACCCGCACTCCCTCGCCGTTTCCAAGGCGGCAGCCGCGTTCGCACCCCAGGGTCTCACCGGCAAGGGAAGGATAATGTAAGTTCAGGCAGAAGGCGGCTAGTGGAGGGAGGAAGGGGGGTGCTGGGGCTAGGGAGCCAATTCAGTAACTACTCCCAAGCCTGAGGAGATGGAGAGGATGGGGGCTGTGTGTGTGTATGTGTGTGTGTGTGTGCGCGCGTGTGTGTATGTGTGTAGCGGGGGAGGGGGCGTTCCTCCTTATACTTGCGGAGGATGGGAAAGGGTGTTTGGTGTTGCTAAGCAAAGACGGCGACTTGGACAGTGGGAGCCTGTGGTGACATCTTGATTAGGCCTTGGGGATAGAGGTAGAGCTGCCTGGGGTGAAATACCGAGACAGGCCTGGGTGGGAAGGGGTAGTGGAGAAAATCAAGGTAAGGAAGAGGAGCCTTGGCAAGCAGATGCCTCAGCCTGGAACAGAGATCTGAGGGGCCTCAGCCTCCTCCCCACAAAAGAGCTGAGGATGGGCGTCTTTCTTTGCTCTTCTACCCACTATTCCCTCCTAGCAGGCTAGGATCCTGCCACCCTGGAGCCCATGGTCAAGAAAGGGAAAGCAGTTATGATGAGGTCCCTTGCAGAGAAGTGTGGAGGTTCTCCAAGCTCATGGCTATTCCCTAGATGTAGCCACTATGTAAAGGTCTCAAGGAAAGGCAGCAGGAGTGGAGGGCTGACCTCCTTTAACATGTGAAACACCTTTAGCTTGTGGCCTGTTTCCCAGTTCCTTTCTCTCCCTCCTACTTTTCAGCCTTTACCTACCTCCCAGTTCCTCTGATGTGAACCTCATGATTTGGCTTTGCCCTCTGGGGGTTCAGCCAATCTATGATGACTTTGAGCAAGAACATTTCTCAGAGACCTAAGAGCAGCCTTAATTCTTGGCTTTGACAGTCTGGGATTTCTTGGGAGTCCCAGACTTTTGAAATTCCCATACTGGGGTTTCTGGGGCTGAGAGAGGAACTGCTAAACTTCCTAAATCTTACTCTAGTCCCCTTCACCCGAGCTAGAATTCAAAATCCTTGGTGCCCACGAAAGCCTTTCTGACTCCTGAAACAGATTCATTACACATATATATTAGCCCCATGAAAGTAGACTTGAGCCTGATTTTCCCCTTACCTTAAT